GATTATTTATGTCTAAAGTCAGTATAGGATGTGCTTGGGTGAGTTAATTAACCCGCTAGTGAAGCGCTTCATTTTACTGGTCTTTATTCACTTGTGCAGCTCAATTCCAGAGTGTGATTATAGTTTAAAATTTATTTTACATTTAAAAACACAAAAAACAACATTAGAGCATTATAGTCTAGATGGGATGTACCCAAAAAGTGAAAGTGAGGAGCATTTATGGGTACAAGTCAGGAACCGGCCTATACATACTGTATTTCAAGGGTGCCGAGTCCAAAAAATCTTTTGAGTTTTTTACCTTCTAATTTGCATATCAAAATGGTCAACAAATTGCCTATCTTGCTCAGTCGCTGGACCATTTTCTCCTAGTTTTTTTTTTGTAAGTAGGCAATCAAGATCAGGAAATTATGTTTCTAGATAGATAGTCAACGGTCAGAGCAAAGATATATTGGAGGCTCACTGCCTTTTTTATGCAACTAGATTTGCAAAATACCAACTTTTAAGGCAAGACACTAGGTGAATAGGGTAAAAAATTTCAATAATAGATATCACCATGAAACTTCCTCAGTTGATTACAAGTATATAAAAAAATGTACTATTATAAGTTTTTGAAATTTGTGTTTAATTATGCAAATTAAGCATCATCTCATTAAATATGCACAATTTTGCATATATTTTCGATAGATAGATCTAAACATATGATAAAGGCATTTGCAAATTTTTTTTTTTCATTTTGTTAAACACACAGTTCAGAGGTATTTCAGGATATATGCTTTCATTACCTAGTAAATCTAAATATACGGTCCATGCCCTTAAAAAATTATTTTTTCGAAATACAAATTTCAAAAACTTATAATACATTTTTTATATAGTTGTGTAAGTAATCAACTGAGGAAGTTTCATTGTGATATCTATTATTTAAAATTTTTAACCTATTCACCTAGTGTCTCGCCTTAAAAGTTGGCATTTTGCAAATTTATAGATATACATAAAAAAGGCAGTGAGCCTCCAATATATCTTTGCTCTTACCCTTGACTATCTGTCTAAAAACTTAATTTCCTCATCTTGATTGCCTACTTACAAAAAAACTAGGGGGAAATGGTCCAACGACTGAGCAAGATATGCAATTTGGTGGCCATTTTGATAGGCAAATTAGAAGGTAAAAAACTCAATTTCGCTTAGGAACCATTTTTTTTTTTTGGACTCAGCACCCTTGAAATATGTAAGGTAGGCCGGTTCCTGACTTGTACCCATAAATGCTCCGCACTTCTTAGAAGGCCATTTTTCTGAAATCCGTCTACTCTCATCTTGCTGTGTTATTTTCCTCGGCCCTTTCGTCAACAAAATGTTTGAATTAAAATAGTCATGTTTTTTGTTGTTGCATTTTTTATGTCATTATGGTTGATGAAATATATATAAAAAACTTAATTAACAAACATTTTTTAGTAATTCTGTTGGCAAGATTAACACTACTCAGTGATTGTTTTTGTGGATGCACAACCGCATTCAGCAACCCAATAGAGCAGTCAATGTCCCTGCAATCTCCCAAAAGTGCTGATGCAACTCTCCAGTTAGTAATGTCATACTTAATATATTAAAAGAGTTAATGGAGTAATGGTGAATAGCCATTTCCCAAAAACTGAAGGGCAATCTTGAGAGTAGTGTGGATCTAGAGCAGAGAGTGTCTGATATGTGAGGCTTGTTTCTCTGTAAGTCTCCCCAGAGTACCCATCTGTTACTGCAGAGCCATGTCTGATTCAGAGAAGGACCAGCTGGGCATGAGAACTAACCCAACTCCCACTAGTCTAGGCACACTTTAAAACACTTTCACATACAAGCAGATGCATCTCGGACAGCTTTTACTAACATAACAACCATAAAAAGGGTTGAGATAATTTTGCTGCTGATGATATAACAAAGTCCTTCGCTCCAGTCGGAAATAATCAGAAAGAACCTCAGATTTGGTTAACAAGCATGACTACTAATAGTCTTTAATGTGGAGGAAAGAAAACGCTGCTCTTACCAGGATTAGATGATCGCTGTTGCCCAGCTGGGGTGTATGGTTGGAACATGGTTTGTAAATAATTAGTAGATTGTAGTTCGTAGGTGCCTTTTCATTGGCTCCATGTCTGAACAGAAACAAGAACAGAAGCTGAGACCCCAAGAAAAAGTATGTGTACAATTCACGTGTGAAATGTAGAAAGCAGTTAGCCAAGAACAATCATTCGCAAAGACCCAGCCTGACAAGCCACGCCGCTCTCATCCACACACCATGTTCTCATGCAGTGAAAAACATCACAGAGCAGAGAGGATACTGACAACAACACACTGACAGACAGGACAGACCTGGTTACTTTTGATATGAAACAAGTCTCAACTTTGGTAATTTTTTGAAGAAATCTACTGACGTTAATCTACTAACTCTCCTGACTCCTTTGTCAGACAAAAATGGCAGATTTGACGGATGGCGGATTATGATTTGTCAGATCGCCTGACAATCAAACTCCCAGCAAAGGGTTAATTATAATGATAACTTTAACTACACATAATAATCCTAAGTAAACCCTAGAAATGGGTGTGCATTAAAATCCCAGAGACTGAGTTCAGGAGATAGTCCCAATAAACACACCCCTAAATGCATTGAAGCAACTGCCATGTATTGATTAGATAATTGCATTTTGGGATGTAAAAACAACTACAACCTTGCATGACAATAAGTGTATAGGCCATTGTGATTGTCAAAACATTTGGTAGCATGGTGAAATAGCCTAATAGGCTGCTTGTATTATTGTTTGATACAAATTGTACAATTTCAATTGAATTCTTGTGGTTTTATTCCGATCTTGATACAATTTGGATACACATTAGGTAGATGTTAATTTGACTCAAATAAGAAAATCTCACCTAATGCTGTAAACCTAGGCTACAGAGAGCCCTGTCAGCTGATATTATTATGGGTTCTACTATTAAATTTACACAGTTTTAATCCGCAGGAAGCTCACAGACACTTTAGCAGTTGGTGAAGTGTATGGTGGTTTGTCCTAGCAGCAGGCCTGTTTAGGCTTTTCAGGGCAGACTGCGGAGGTTGGTGAAGGCCATAGAGGATACAGGGACCATCGCGCCTGCTTGTCTCCATCTGTAGCTGAAGCTGGTAATTATAGTTGGGAGAGGAGCCCGCAGCTTGATGCCATCTGCCAGCGGGACGGTAGAGCCAGGCTGAAGTGGGCACAAAGGCCCAGTGAAGTTCCCTTAGCTGCGGCCGACAGGAGGACCAACACCTGCCAGCGGGCCGCTGGGCCTCATCTGCTCGGATGGGGCACGCGACGGAGGAAAGCGAGCTCTGGTCAAATATTGTAAAAGCACTGGGTCACATGCAGAAAACCAAGATTTGCACGCTGTTTTGCATTATTATAAGTGTGTGCCGTGGCTCTTGACTGATAACTTCACAGGAAGAACCTGGTAAAAAAAATGTGAGTCAATCCCACCATCTTGTGGCTAAATACACGTAGTGCAGCTGAAAAAAGCACAAGAAGCGTGATTAACTTGAAACTTATAAACTATAACATACCGAACACATGCTCGCAACTCAAATTTAACATCCACGTGCATGTAGTGACAAGAAGACAGCTGTGCTCATGTCTCTCTCTTTCATTCGTGTTGGCACAGCGTTGCGCACCACAGTCTGCTCTAGCGTGGCCATGCCCTTCCCCTGCTCTGCCCGTCCTGCGTGTCACCAAAGCTTGCATGGACACAGATGGTGTGGGGGGAGCAGCGCATGAATATATGATGCTGGAGGGTGAAGTGTAGCGGGTCGAGGCAGATGCCCACTGGCCCCGCGAGAGCCCCTCTGCCCGGTCAGCCACGGCCCTTCGGCTTCCCACCAGATGCTGCAAAAGAACCCCAGCTAAACCTCTCACGCTTTTCAAAAGATTGACGTCCACATGTTTAATAGATTATTTAAGATCATGTAAAAGTAAAACCATGGATTTATGTTAAAATTTGCAATCATTTGAGAAGCGACAACACAGATGGGCTCCTAACCCTGGATAAAGGAATGTTTCTCTCTTGTAATGTAGAGGCAGGGTTTGCACCACTTTCAATATTATTTAAAAAACGAGAAGACCGGGCGGTGGGCGGGACATATCGAAAAGCTCCTCCCCCTTTAAAAAAAAATAAATCACAGCTCGGCCAGCTGCGACAGATTAAATATGAATTCTGCCATTGTTTTGGAGCACACTAGCTTATAGATAACAGTAAGGCTAACATTAATATTTTAATAAAAAAAGGGGGAAATTTTGCAAATGGTGACGGAAAACTTGCTTATGACTGAACTGTATTTTCTTACCTTTGTAGTCTTAAAGAGTGGCAATATAATATAAATCGAGAATGAGTAATGCTAGAGACTCTAGTCCACTTTTTGCATTTGTCCAATCAATGACAATGCAAAAATACAAATTAAATGTTGTTAACCCCCTATAAAGTATGAGCAGTGAGAAATATGAAACAAGATAACAGGATTCCATTTTAGCTGTGGTTTAGAATAACCCAGTGTTATTTAGGCTTTTAAAATTTTGAAAAGCTCTCAAAACATAAAAATGTAACTTTGAAAAGCCATGCTCATTCCTCAAACTCACACACACACACACAAAAAAAGTGTGCTACATATGGATTCCACCACCGCAAATGTGCAGTATGGAGATGGGCGAAAAAATTACAATTAAATTACACACATAAATGGAAGAAAGAACTGTCTAACATGGCTTTAGTAGCAGATAATGTACAATTATGACAGAATATTTAACTATTCAGTTTATGTTATCTTCATGTATTGAACTAAAAAAAGCAGGGGGACTTCAACATAATTTGTGACAAATTAGTTATAAGTTTGTTGGGTATTAAATGAGATTTTTTTAAGTACATCATAGAAAATGTAACTACTTTATTTTGTTCTATCTAAATGCAAGTTTAACTGTTCTATTGTGAAAGAAAAGCCAACCAAGTGCAATGCAGCATAATATATTTAAACATGAAAAACAAAACATATACAAGTTAGCTAGAATAGCTACAAAAAAATGTTTTAACACACACAAAAAAAGTTTACAAAACAGAGAAAAAAATGAAAGGCATATTTAACTGAATAAGAACAAAAACTACAGTAGGTGTTCCCTAGTAATCAACCAATTAATGTGCTAGACAGTGAACACATGGGCTTACACATCACATTTGGCAAATTGTTCCCAATAATATCACTCCAAAAAATGAATTAATTAAATATGCAACTCTAGAGTGACCTGAAAAGTAAGAAGTTAAGCCTCACTGGCCTGATTATTTTGACCTAAATTGGCAGGCACATGGTAATGCAGGTTGTACTTGGATCTTCAACAGGTTGTGGACAAGACCCTTCTGGGTTAAGCAAACGTGTGTTTATAATCAACAAAATTCATGTAGATGACATAATAACAATGGCTTGCTTTAATGATACGTTGTGATAACTCGGTTATAAACAGTGATTGATATGTGACCAACTCTCTGATATCAGGAGGGTAAGAAATATTTCAGCAACACCCAAGCCTACAAGCTTTGAGAAGGCATCAGGTGGCATGTCTGCTACGTCTGGAGTGTGTGTGCAGCATCAGAGTAAACTCAAATGGAAGAACAAGGTTTTGCTGTCCTAAGAAAGGGTGTACATGAAGTAGACAGAAGCAAGTGGCAGGCTGAGGCTCATTAGAGCTTCTGCAGGAAGTAGCATCCTCTGCCTCCAGCATGCATTTGCAAATAGACCCGAAAACTGGCAGAAATAGAGGTTGTGTGACTATGCTATAAGAATGAAAGTAGTGTTAAGAAGTGTATTCCTGTCAAGTCTAATCAACAGAATTTTTCTTTTGTTATATCCTGGGTATAAACAACATCATAAAAAAGCTTAGTTAACCATAATACCACATAAAGTGAAGAAACAGTGAAGATTAGAAAAGAGTACAAGACAAACACAACAAAAAAGTGCTTGCTTCCAAACATTACAGATGTGTTTAACTCTGATGGCTTATTCAATCACCTTCTCTGCTCCTCCATAACACCTTTCAATGCAAATCAGCATTTGAATGCAACTGAGATGTGCAGTCTCACGGACAGACGAGTCTTTCACCAATGCTCCTGCAAAGTGTGCTCAGGAGAATCAGGTGAGATGGGATCACAGCTGATCCAAACGAGATACAAGTCGCCTCCTGAAGCCGAAACTGAGCTCTAGGTAGGAAGAGGGTCGTCGTCGCCACGTTTGCACTTGCATTTGCAGCAGAGGACGAAGGGAGTAGCCAGCAAAAGGAAAGGGGAGGCCACCAGCAAGAGCAGACCGAAGCCGGCAAAGATGCCAACAACCTGATCAGAGAAGATCACAATGAAAAAAAAAAAGAGGAAAAAAAAGTAATTAAAAAAAAAATAATAATAATTAAATAATTAATAATAATGTGTATACATTCCTGTTGATTATAAACTGAAACAGCATCTGTGATGCTCTTACATGTCAAACCAGAAGGCATTCTGCCACGGGAGGGCAGTAATGGCTCTTGGTAATCATATCTTGGTGTTAAGGTTAGGTTTATTCAATGCTACTGGTACTAATCTAATTTTTTCCTGAAAAAAGCTTCTATACAATTTTGGGAGCATCAAGAAAGTACGTTCCAGTTCTGAAAATGTTAAAGAATTGTCTAAAAAAAATGTAATATCAACAAGCAAACATGCAAAAAAGTATTGATTTTGTGTCCTCAAACAAAACAACAATAAAAAAAGTTTATTGATATTAATATTTTAAAAGCAAGGATGTTTTATGATTGATTGGAAATGACCACGGGGCATTAATAATATTATCATATGTCTCTTTTTTCATATCTTTTTTTTTTTTAAATAACTGCTATACATTTTATTAATCAAAGAATCCTGAAAAGTGAAAATATTTTTTTTCCACAAAAACATTTAGCGGTACAACTGTTTTTAATATTGATAATAATAATAAATGTTTCTTGAGCACCAAATCAACATATTAGAATGATTTCCGAAGGATCATGTGACACTAAAGACTGAAGAAATGAGGCTGAAAATTCAGTTGCCATCACAGAAATAAATTACATTGAAAATATATAATGTATTAAATCGAAAACTTATTTAAATAATAATAATAATAACAACACAATATTATTTTGTAAAGCATTTTAATCAAATAAATAAGTCTTAGTGAGCATAAATACTTCTTTCATAAAAAAACAATTCTAACTGACCCCAAACATTTGATCAGTATACAATGTATATATAAAACAATGACCTAATTCTAAAATGTACCTATTTTTAATTCATGGAATAGCCCATTAGTTTTGAGATAAGTGCTGAATTATCAAACTGATGATTTGTTGAGTTGACAAACTATTAAGAGACAATGTGGTTCCCTCTACATCAAATGTCTGAAATATTAACATACAGCATTAGGGGAGTCCCTTTTAAACATCTACGCTAGAAAAAGAGATGCATCATATGCATACACACATTTACCTGTAGGCAGATTTAAAAAGACATTGCTGCCTCCTGTTGTGCTCTTGAGGACAGCATCTCTAATCTCTCCTTGCACAGTAAAGACATAAGCCACTCTTTAAAAAAAAAACTTAACAAATAACATCCTACTACAGACTGATAGATCATGCTCCATTACTACAAAATTTGAGGGTTATTTAAGGTGAACTTGGAGGGATATTTAAGGTGAACTTTGTAAGCCAGCTTGTCTTTAGCACTTCAGATCTGCAGTCTGGAGGGATGCACTCATGTGGTACATACCTGCGTCCGATGCCAGATGACGGAGGCTCTGGAATGTCCAAGTTTGTTCTGGCACGGACCTTTATCATAGTGGATCAGTAAGAAGTCATCCTGAGGAAGTAAAGGAAAGATGTTAGTGTCAAAGATAAATATGAGTGACATGGAGAAGCAGCATTTTAAAACTCCCACAATATATTGGTCTAACCAAGCATGACTCTAGTGGAGCAAGAACACATTTAATAAGACATTCCTATGGGAGTTCTACCTTTATGGTACATAATCAGTTTTTTGGCCTCTTTTAAATAATAATAATAATAATAATAATTGTCTAATAATAAGTTAAACATGTCATATGCATAACTTACATCCAATGACTCCAGGCAGTACCAGCAGAAGGCATGCTTGCAGTTCTTACACATCATCTGGGCACAGCCTTCATCTCTCTCAATGTACACTTTACATTTAGGACAGCGTTTGATCGAGGCCTCGTCCTCCAAGCTCTTGATGTTGAAACTGAAGAGGGGAGATGAACATGGAACAGAACAGATGTTGAGTGTCATGTTCTGTTTAGGGCTGGAGAGACACATATTGCTAATGTTATGAAGTCTGATTATAAATAAATACCAAAAACTTGCTAACATGCTTCAAGGTTATAAATAAACACTACAGTTTTCGGAGTTTACAACAGCAGTCTCTTATGCTCACCAAGGCTGCATTTATTTGATCAAAATAAAGTCAAAAATAATATGAAATAGTGAAAAGTAAATAGAAATATGAATAATATGAAATAGTAAAAAAAATGTAATAGTGAAATATTATTACAATTAAAAGGGACTGTGTTTTTATTATTTTAATACAAATAAAAATATAATTTATTCCTGTGATGGCAAAGCTGAATTGTCAGCATCATTCCAAGCATGTCATCATTCCAAGAATGATTTGATGTTCAAATGACATTTCTTCTTATCAATTGTGAAAAAAGTTGTGCAGCATTACATTTTTTTAGAATTCGTTTTTGGAGAGTTCTTTGAGTAGAAAGTTCAAAAGAACAGCATTATTTGAAAAATAAATATTTAGTATTTACAGCCAATTTTGATGCATTTAGTTGGTTCTCATCTTTTGATTTTATAAAAAATCTTTTTTATTATTGTTTCTACAGTGTTTTTGTTGAAATCAAATGGACTCTAATCAAGTCAAAACAGAACAGTTGCTAAAATGAATACCAGATGAAGTGTTGCAAAACAAAAGGAGACAGGTCAAGAAACTTAAATAAGGGGCAATCTAAGATAATTATTCTTATCTGTATATAATGGGGATGGGGTACACCCACAGATGCAATATCTCTGCTGTGAATGCTACATGATTTGATGCTGAGGTTTTACCCGTTTTCCCCAGGCAGGAAGGTGGTAATCGGCAGGCTCTCCTGACATGGCTGGCCGGTGTGGCAGTCCGCCCTGCAGGCAGAGCAGAAACGCAGGCTGCACTGAGGGCATTGCACCGGCTGCGGCAACTGCACCTCTGCTTCATTCAGCTGGCACACCGTTTGGCATGAGGACGACGGGCACCAGGTCCGACAAGGATCCAGAAGCACCTCTGTAAGGAAAAACAAACAGAATGCTTGTCATGGAAATTTTAGACTGTATATTAAACCAACCATGTTTCTAACATCTAACCTTATTCAACACTTTGAAACACCATGTACTAAAATCATTGGTTCTGTGTTTTTGAATATTGTAGGCCTAATGTATGTTTCCACACCCCTGTCGAGTGTATAAATAACATAGTTTGGGAAATTAAACTAGACAGTCTAGGTTTGAAACCTTGTGATCATGAAGTAATAAAGAACCAATCAAATTGTAGGGAAATGTCATTTTCGCCCATTCTCCTTTTCTATAAAAACTGTTGTATCTGTTGGTGGGATTCTCAATGGGATTGGTCTGAGATACACCGGCCATGCTTATTTATTCTTTTTGGGAGATTCTCTGGAGAACTGCTCGAGAACTCCCGGCCGCAATAAACAGCATTTAAAGGACAATTACTCAAGGCTGTCTGACATTTAAGCTGTGCGGCGAAGAAAACAAGTAAGTTAGAATTATCGACTCAACGTCAATAAATTTATTTATTTATTTCATTATGCATCTCTCAGGGAAACTCACCTCGCTCAAACTGGAGTCTCTTATAACGTTGCATGACCTCTGCAGCCACCATACACTCAATCTACAGCAGAGAAATATATAAGCATATAAGCAATGGTAGGAAATGACAGAGGAAGAGAGACTGTCTAATACTTTAAAACTTCTATAGTCTTTCTAGTCTCTGACAAAAATGACAAATTTTAAGAGAGCTTACCTCATTTTCTAGCAAATGTCCCCGTTTCGGGCAGGCAGAGTCAGGACAGCTAATAGCCGATTCGAGGCCCTCTTTAATGAGCAGTTCAACATATTGCTTCAAACACTGTAAGAGACAAATTTCTTTATTTTTCATCTTTGAAAAAGAATGATGAGACAACTGCTGCCTGTAGTTATGTTTCCACCCACAAACACTCTGTTCATTGTAAGTCAAGCCAACATCAGACCATCATCACAGCATTCTGCTGAGACAACATTCAAGAGCTGCTTCAAGAGAACAGATCAAGCTTCAAAAATCTTTATTAGCATGGCAAAAAACATCTTGTTTCCAGCACCAGCTTAATGCAGTTACATTACTGCTGTATTCTCACATGTAAAGAGACTGCATTACAATACAGTATGTTTTGGAACACTAGTTGGCACATTGCTGAAAAACACACAGGAGTGGCCACTGAAGCCACAGTCCTTACCAGACTGCAAAATATGCACTGGCACTGGGAGATGGTGGTCATCTGTTCCAGGGGAAACTCTCCCAGGCACAGTTTACAGGACAGAAGCGGCGCCAGGTCCACGTCCCAGCTGGGTTCGTAGCAAGAGCTGCTCATGGTGCGCCAACCTGGGACACTAAAAGACAGAGAGAAAACATGTCTGAAAAAGAGCTAAAGCAGTTAATAAATGCCATATTTTATCTATATAATGATTAAAAACCAAAAAACTACAAATTATAATTGATTTAAATGCAACAAGTAAATTTAGGCATCACAACCATTGTTATTTTTTTAACTAGTGAGTTTAACTAGTATAATATGATTTTAGTAAAATGTATATACTATTACAGTATTTATTCATAGAATTAGCTTTTATTTTTATATTTTAACTTTAGAGTTACTAATGTGCATTTTTAATATTTTAGTTTGTTTATATTACTATTTTTATTTCTATTTAATTTATTTAGTTTAGTTTCACCTAAACTTACTTCAGCTAGTTGCCAAAGCAAGAAAATTCAGTTAATTAAGTTAACATTTAACAATTACATTTTATTTTAGCTTCATTTCACTAACCAAAGGCAATTAAAATGGTTTTAGTTTCAGTTAACAATAACAATGATCAAAACGTTATAATGTACAGTAAGAAAAATGTATAAGCTAAAGATTACTTGTAGCAGTGCTTTCAAAGATTAACTGTAAGTGAGCAACAGATGACAACAATGGTAATCTAAATGTAAAAATAAATATTGGAAATTAGCAGGCACAACTAAATACACAATATCGCTCTCAAATGTAGGCCAAAAGGTGATATGATACTGATAGGCCTACCGATGATATTTTTAACTTAATGGGTAAAAAGGTACCTTGGACAATAGAATCAAAGATTTAGGGGATCTCATTATTATCCATTAAAATACTTGGTCTGTCAGCCACAGAGTTTTCCTCCCGAGAGCTTCTGCTGTTTGCTGAGAGCTTGTCCAATCAGTCAATGGCAAGTATGTCAACATCCCTCAGTACTGCTGCCAGGCAACCCAAAGAAAACTAATGACTGTCTCCACTGGAGATCCCTATAGAAAAGACTCCCCCAGAGAGTATGACTAACACGGTAGCTACTAAAAACAAACAGACCTCCGCATAACACACATATTTATAAGGCTACTGTACGTGTAAACTTTCAAACGCTACTTCCCAATATGGCACAGCAAAACATTTTGCACCTGAAATTACTAAAAACTATGTAATGAGGTTCACTGTACCTCACTGAGCACTACATGCCAACATGAGCTGAAATAATTAACTGAAGAACATTCAGATGGACTAGTTAGTGCGCTTCCCTACAGCAGATATCTGTGTAGGTGGAGACAGATGGAGAATCATGGGCTTACGCCTGCAGGATCTCATTGTGTTCGTGGTGGCGGGAGTAGTCGACAGCCCAAACAAACGGCTCTCAGCAGGCTGTGCGTCTCTCCGTTTGGGCCTCTCACCTCCGTCAGCACACCCACACAGCCTTAACCAGACACTAACTCTCAGTCATTTCATGTGTAAAGCCACGTGTACACGGTGATTATTCTGTCCTTTATGATCATTGCTTTTCAGGTCGCCTGCCTTGAGATCTTGAGTAGAAGTCAAGGCAGTGACACATGTACATCTTATGAGAACAATGACACCATAATATGAAATCCTCAAATTGAAATAGTTCTGTACAAATGAAGAAAATAATGTTGTGCAGTGTCTGAAATCTATCATGGACTGCTTTTTCTTTAGTTCAAAGGAGGCAATATTGATAATGTGAAGGGAATTCAAGACAAACACACTGTATCATCAAACATCACCAGTTAAGTTGTTCTTCATCACTCTGTAGGACTGCAACCCAACATTTCTGATTCATCAAACCCTGTTGGTGTGATAAAAGCCTGCAGAGTATGCCTACAACAAAATAAATCATTCAAGATTACAAAAATTTGTCTCAAACATTAAATTCATGGCCACAGTCAAACAGTATAGGCATAATACATCACATGTCATCAGGAACACTATTATATAAGTTTCCAATGGCCAGACAAGTTTCAATCCCTCTTCTCCAGCAACCTGTTACTCATATAAAACAGTTTTACCAAAACAATTTCATTTGATTCTATTCTTCAAATTTGATGAATCGATTCGAATATATACACATCACAATAACCAAGAGTCAGTCAAAATTTCCTGTTCCCACGAATCCCACACAATATCAATTGCCAAAATGAGTCAGTATAGTAAACCTATTCTTTTTCATTTAGTCTTTCGAACCGATGGTAGACAAGTTGTTCATGCAACCAGATTAAAAAGGGTCATTTTTGCAAATAATGCAAAAATATATAATAAAATACTATAATATAATATAATAAACAATAGGCCTCTGAGAAAGCCATCTACTGTAGTTCAAAAATAGACTAAAAAATACAAAACTAGAACAAGGTCATTTTGAAAAGGAATAAATTACTAAAAAACAAAGATGTCCACCGCTCCCAGAGTTAAAGGGGAAATCCCCAGGCATGAAAGCAGGCTCTCCATTGTTCATTCAACTAGACAACAACTAACCACATCTTAAGCTTTTCCTCCATGGAAATGGGCCAGGAAAGGAAATATCCTATAAAGTTGGGTCACACACATCAGTCTGGCACAATGAATCCCTCAAAGGGTCCAAGATGAAGATGGAGAGTGTCCAACAGCCTGGCAATGTAATTGAACTTCTCTCCATCTGCTGATGAAGGTAAATAGCACTAATATCTAGCTCTAAAGCACATTTTCTTGTTGTGTATGCACATTTCAAAGTGCTCACAGATCACTATATTAAAAAAACTGGCTTTGCTCAGTTTTGCAAAAAGCATTCGAGCCAAGACAACTTAAAGGGTTAGTTCACCCAAAAATGAAAATTAAGTCATTAATTACTCACCCCCATGCTGTACCAACCCCGTAAGACCTTCGTTCGTCTTCGGAACACAAATGAAGATATTTTTGATTAAATTTGAGAGCTGTATAACTACCACATTGGCTCCTAAGGGACTGCCTCTTGACGGCCCAAAAAGTCAATGAAGAAAATGTTTAAATATCCCAAGTGACTACCGTGGCTCAACTATATGTTTATCAAGCGACGCGAATACTTTTTGTGCGAAAAAACAAACAAAAATAACGAGTTTATTCGACTATTTCTTTTCTTCCTTGTAGGCCAGAACGAGACTTCCTTATAGATTTCCATGACGCATGCACGAGAATTGCGATCTGAAGTAGTGAAGGCTGGTGTGAGTCACTACTTCAGATCGCAATTCTCGTGCATGCGTCATGGAAATCTATAAGGAAGTCTCGTTCTGGCCTACAAGGAAGAAAAGAAATAGTCGAATAAACTCGTTATTTTTTTTGTTTTTTCGCACAAAAAGTATTCGCGTCGCTTGATAAACATATAGTTGAGCCACGGTAGTCACTTGGGATATTTAAACATTTTCTTCATTGACTTTCTGGGCCGTCAAGAGGCAGTCCTCTAGGAGCCAATGTGGTAGTTATACAGCTCTCAAATTTAATCAAAAATATCTTCATTTGTGTTCCGAAGACGAACGAAGGTCTTACGGCGTTGGTACAGCATGGGGGTGAGTAATTAATGACTTAATTTTCATTTTTGGGTGAACTAACCCTTTAACAACTGAGCTTGTAACCAGTGCAAGTATGAGTAAAATTATATAACTGATAAAGATCTTACATAATATCCATTTTTAATCTATCTCTAGGTTGAGGACAAATTAAGCTGTTCTCTCCATTGTCGCTCTAACTGTCTCTTATGACTGGTCAAGAAACAGTTATTGGCTATTGTCAAGACCTTTGGTGGAAACAATATTCAAAGTATTAGTATTCAAAAGCACATCTTTACACTAACTCACTGTTCCCTCTTCATATCTGCTTTTGCAAACTTTTAAAAAGTGTTCAAAACCATTTACAGCAGCATTTTAAATTAGTCTAAATGTGCTCAGAACAAACATACAGAAATGTCTTTGGTACGTCTTCGGATTTGTGTCAGCAACACTGAAATCCCTGAACAACCTAATTGCTTAATTGGATTACATAAAGGAGGAGTATGTGAATACATAGGCCTAAGCATATAACTGCTAGTCAGACCTTAAAGGGATACTCCATCCAAAAATTTAAATTGTCATCATTCACTCACCCTCAAGTTGTTGCAAACCTGAATAAGTTTCTTTCTTCTGCTGAACACAAAAGGAAGATCTTTTGAAGAACGATAATTTGGAACCAAACAGTTGTGGGGCACCATTGACTTCCATGGTATTTTTTTGTACTATGGAAGTCAATGGTGCTAGCCTGACTTCGTCATACTCATATTCTTGTCAGAAAGAGTCTGAAACTGCTCCGTAGGGCTTTGATTATGAGGCGCGTCTTAACCGAACCAGGAAAAAAAATCCTCTGCACTCAATTGGATAGTCGGTAAACCTACAACCAATCAGAGCAACGCAGTAAGTCAGCTACTTTGCATACAGTTGTCAACTACAGAACGTAGCCCAACTTTACTTATTTTAGAAGTTAAATAACGAGTGTTGCTTCTTTTACTTACTCCTCCATGAGCGCGACCAAAGGAGAAACTACAACGACCACATGCTTTTCATTATGTCCCATCTTCTTAGCGAACGTCAGAGCCACCTGATAAGTTACACTTGTGCCGAATCATGAAGGGAGGACAGCAAAAATATCTTTCCGATCGACAAATGCCTTGATTGCAGTTTTCTGTTTGTCTATTAAAATTAATGCGCTGTCGATTTATTTCACAACAGACGCGACAGCGGAATCTATACATCTCAATTTTCCAGCTGCAGTCATCTTTGAGGGAAACCAGTTAAGCGCTCTTTGATAATGTGACGATTACGTCCTTGCAGATCACCTGTCCATCATTGTATAAAGCCCGCCCTGGAAATTTGATTGGCCCGAACGTCTTTTGCCTGATCATAATTACTCCTCAATGTATCGAGTCCAGACTGAACTTCCCGACCAAAAAATGTTGTGGGCAGAGTGCCTGGTGCCTGGCTACAACTGTCTGGTTCAAATCGTTCTTCAAAAGATCTTCCTTTTGCGTTCAGCAGAAGACAGACACTTGTT